AAATCTGCTTAATTATGCACACCTGAATATAAGAAATTTTTCACTTCCTGGAATTATGGCATATTGTAATGCTGGGTTGTGTTGAGCAAGGAGCTGTTGGCATTTAGAGAGCACTGAGAGCGGGCATCAGGTGAGCAAGCTAGTGAAACGTTGAAAGAGAAGGTCTGCACAAATTCAAAAACTTATTTTAAATGCAAAATTGATTTTCGTGTGCTCTAAATACTTTCTTTGCGAGACAAACATTTTCTCCACAAAACTTTTGCGCGCTCAAAATATGATCTTTCGCGCGCAGAATTGTGGCAGAGATGTAATCCCATATACAACCCCCTAAAATTTTGCGATTAGCTCCATAAACTGTACACAAATTCATGATCACCTCAGTTCCCTTTAAATTTCATATGAAAACAGCGGCAGACTTCGATCAGCTCCCCGTCTTTCAGCGCGTTCTTTTTCAATCTGCAGACCGCGGCAGATTGAGAAACAGAGGACAAGGTGTGTTTATCGATAGATTTTTATAATATCTGCAGCTGTGCAGTTCTTTGTCATAAATCCAGTTTACAAAATATCATGGGGGAGCAATAATCGGTTCCCCATCTACTGTAGCCTAAGTTTTCACTGCGTTCACCCCTCATCACAGCACAGCGGTTTCCTCCAGTGAAAATGAAGCACATATGAACGCATATACTTTATAAAACGATCATGTTGCCATTTTCATTTGAAATTTTTACTTTCAATATAATACATATTCCAGTGCATGTGGCAAAGAGGTTTGTATACTTGAGCTAAAGAATGAGGGTTGTACTAGAAATGCAAACAGTAAAGTTTTGTGTTTGTACAGTAAACAGGTTGTGTGTGTGAGATCATGAAGACTTGAATTTGGCTTATTCAGTTCTCAAATGTTATACCTATCTATGCAACACAGTGGAATACTGCAATAAGTTTAGTATACGACCCATATTAATCAAAATTTTTTAAAATCTTATTTATATATATATATATATTTTTTTTTTATTATTAGGTTATTATTATACCCTCACTGGGGGCTGAGCCCCCCTAAAATGAAAATCCTAGAATCGCCCCTGGCTAAAACATTAGTCACATTTAAATCTAGACTCAAAACTCATCTGTTTATCTGTCCATTTATTGAATGAGCACTGTGCTATGTCCGAACTGATTGCACTATATTTTATGTATAATCGTTTTCTATTCTTAACCGTT